CATGAAACTTACCAGAAAAAGTACCGAATTTTGCCAATTTTTCTGCCGGCATTACCCGCCAAGGCCCTGGTACTGTCTGGTCACCTGTTGCTTGACTTAGTCACGCCAATACTTGCACCTTGCGTCTTGTGCTTGGCACACAAGTAGAGTCAAACCTGTTTAGGACGAACACCAAGGGACCGATGATATTTGTTCGCAATAACGGGAGTTCTTCTTATCCGTATGTTACACCCAGTGGCTACGCAGTCATTTATCCAATGGAGTTACGAATACTATATAGTTCTTCTTAAGCAAACATTTGTCTTATCAGGGTTCTTCCTAACCAGGTTTCACTGTAATGTATGTGTGCTGTGTTTCCTTGGAGACAAGACTGCAATGATACAACAGAAGAAGGACACGCTTCAGTCTCCTGTCCTTCTTCTCAGTACCATTGTATGTCTGTTCGTGTTTGTATGTACACATCGTGACATGTGCATGTGGCTATGCCTGTGTTTGTACATGTGTATGTGTGAACACTTTGTAGATCTTTGCAGGCGGCAAGTTCATTCGTACGCTCTGTGAAGGCAGTACATTTGGAGAGATTGCACTGCTGGGTCTCGGCAACGAAGGAGATGTCAAGTAAGCATCCAGCTACACGCACACACATGCACACACACGCATGCACACACACACACACACACGCACACACACACACACTCGCGTGCGTGCGTGGGACGCACACACTCACACACACGCACACACACACACACACATACACACACACGCGCGCGCGCGTGCATGGACCGCACACGCACACACACACACATGCACACAGACACACAAGACACACGCACACGTCCCCCCCCCCACACACACACACGCCACGCATCACAATGCTAATGCCGGGACATGTATTATTGGCATCACCCTCCCAACGATCTGGTAACAATTGGCTGAGTTCAGACTGCAGGGAAAATGGTGGCTCTCATATCCAGTGCATTACAAACTTGTCACATGTTCATGACATGTTTCGGCAACCTCCACTGACGTCTACGGATCAATCAGAGACAGTTTGTTTGTTTGTTTGAAGTATTTATTCTCACAAACTTAGAAGTTGCGACTTCGGCGGTAATAGTCATGAAGTTGATTGTTCCAACTAGGAACACACGCTTCTTGCCGAACTTGAAACTTGACTGACTCACGACTGCCATCCGGAGCACACGAGGACCAAATCGCACCTTCCACTCGGCAAACCTGCAAGAAAGCACCACTCCCTGCTCAATACACAGTGTTTCGGGGAATTCACCCCTCATCAGTTGAGCTTGAGTAGGCTGAGGAAGTTTCAAGTTCGGCAAGAAGCGTGTGTTCCTAGTTGAAACAATCAACTTCATTATTTATTCTCACGGTTAAAATTAATGTTGACCGATATCGGTGCAATGCAGCAATCTCTCCTCCTCTTCTTCGTGCGATCTCAGCCGACACGTTACTACATTGCTACAGACATCCGTGGAATGCTTTTTATCATTATGCTCCGTTGCGGATTGGAAGCAGTGTGGACCGACATCCGTGTGTTTGTACTCCACTGTTTCTGCTCCGTTGCAGGTTACCAGGTGGCAAGATTGTTTGCAAGCGTACGGCTGACGCTCAGTCCGTTGGCTACTCGGAGGTGTTCATACTGGGGAAACGTGACTTGATGGGGGTGAGTGATGATAGAGTAGTGTGTTCACACAATGGTCATGTGACTAAATTCGTGTAGAAAGTGATCATGGCGTGTGGAGTCTGTGGACAGTGGGAGCCAACATGGCCGCCGACATCATGTGACCCGTAGATACGGGAGGGTGAGCGGAGTTAGAAACAACATGGCTGTCCCGCGTGGTCATGTGACAGACGTGAAACCACTCTATGACAATTTCGGTTTGGTTGACAGTCATTGCTCCGAGTAAGCGGCCCAACAGCTGCCCCTAAATTGGCCATTAAGCTCTTTCTTTGAAAAGTTTGTGGCAGGCCCAGGGGCACATTCCCTGTCCACGAGTACATTCCTCTTCAGGGGTACATTTCCTGTCCAGGGGTAAACTCCATCTATGGTGTGTATGTGTGTGTGTGTGTGTGGGGGGGGGGGGGGGGTGTTACAGCCCTATTTAGGGGGTACATTCATCGCGTCACTGTTCGTCTGTTCGTTTGTGGATGCCCGCAGGCGCTGAGTGAGTACCCAGAAGCCCGGCTTGCACTGGAGACCCAGGCCATGGAATGGTGAGTGAAGCACTCTCACATACTTCCTTGTCATGTGTTCTCGTCATACTGAGATGGGTTATAGCAGCAACGCCACCGGACTTAAACATCCAACTTCCAACTTGGAAGACCGTTGGTTGGTTTGTGCATTCGAGACGTGATAGAGCTTTAGAAAACATCAGGTCGATGAAAGGCAGTACCATGTCATTCAGTGTTGCGCTAGCTGTTGCAACGTTTGACTCCGCAATACCTTGCTTGGAGCTTTTAGTGTTGGACCACCTACGGGTAAGATGTGACATTTTGGTCCGTTTAATCCTTGGCTAACCATGCAAGTGAGATAACGTAGACGGTATTGTGCTTTGCATGGTACAAGGTCGCCAGTGTGTGGGTACAAGTAAATAGATGACTATTGCTGGCCATCGTACATTATTTTAAACATTCTTTATAATCAGAAATATACTTACACCATAGAAGCAACACGTCATGACTGCCATATTGTATGAGTGCACTTGGCTTGCATGCGGCCCTACAACTCATGGTTCGTTGTAAATGGAATATGTTCGCTACAAAGCGTCCATTAAAAAAAAAAGTAAATTATCGTGTCCGTTCCCGAAGGGAACTCACGACGGCCGCTAACACCCGATAAACCCTAGCGGCAGATGCAGCGCCTAAAGCGTCCATTTTGCATGGGGTTAAACAGGGGCACAGAAAGTGGTTTGCTGAATTACGAAATTCGCTATAATTATTCGAGCTTGTTATAAGCGGACTCAACTTTACAGTGAAAGTGATGTTGTTCTTAAATATTTTTCTTACTATTAAAGGGGTTGTCCATAAATATCAAACCTTTTCACAAAACAAAATAATATTTTATTAGTGCAATTAGGAGTATAATCGATGCAGACATGGCCAGACAACAACGAGTTCATGGAATTTTTAAGGATTTCGAAGGCGAAGGAAAGGAGCGGGATGAGACGGAAGAGAGCGACGTGAGCAAAAAGTCAGCTGTATTTTGTCACTTGTTATCACGTCCAGATTGTCTTAGTGTGTACGATGATTCTCACTTTTCTGTTTTGTGCCGTGCAAGTTATGTTAAGCAGTTGAAGGTTCTGGAAGCTGTATGTATTCGTGTGCATAATCCTGTTCTTTGTAAACAAAAGAAGCACGTAGTCGCGCTAAAGTTGTTCTCGTAGCTGGTTATCAGATGTAAATGTTGTGTCATGTTGCACTGTATCACCTCTTGCTTTGTGGCTGCACTCAGTTATATACGTTAGCACTATGTTTGACACCTATTATGTAATGCTGTAGCACTTCCTTTGTTGCTCACACTTTTAATTAATTATGCTGTTATAAAATGTTCTATTTTTGTACACAGTACCCTCAGTTCCGATACTATTCACTGATGAGCGGAACACGAAAATCGATTTTGAATAACATAAAAATCCTTAAAAATTCCATGAACTCGTTGTTGTCTGGCCATGTCTGCATCGATTATACTCCTAATTGCACTAATAAAATTGCTTTCTCCACGCCGACTCTTTAAAATAATATTTCATTATGGGGTGGGAGGGGTTGGCCAATTTCGTTTCAGAAAACATTGATTCATGTACATGGCCGTTGTATATGCATGTATGTCAACATTTTTTTACGTTCTGAGGGGGAGGGAGGGAGGGGTTGGGTCTAAAACTAAAATAATTCGTTTGGTGAAAAAAAGTTCGATATTTACGGATGGCCCCTAAGTGTACAACCTACTAGTAGTATACTGGTGTATGTGCTGCTGTCCTTTTTTGTTTCA